CTTCAAGCTCTATTATAGAGCTGTAGTCCTGAAAACAGCTTGGTATTGGCACAAAAATATACAGGTAGACCAATAGAATAAAATTGAACACCCTGATAGTAGTTCATACATGTATGAACATCTGATTTTCAACAAAGAAGCTAAAGATATACAATGGAAAAAAGATCTTCAACAAATGTTGCTAGCATAACTGGATGCTGATATGTAGAAGAATTCAGATAGATCCATGTCTATCGCCTTGCACAAAACTTAAATCCAAATGTACCAAAGCCCTCAACATAAATCCAGCTACACTGAACCTCTTAGAAGAGAAAGTGGGAGGCACCCTTGAACGAATTGGTACAGGAGACAGCTTCCTGAACATCACTCCAGTAGCAGAGACACTAAGATCAACAATTAATAAATGGGACCTCCTGAAACTGAGAAGCTTCTGTACGGCAAAGGACAAAGTCAGCAAGACAAAAAGCCAACCCACAGATTGGGAAAAGATATTCACTAACCTCACATCTTTCAGAGGGCTGATCTCCAAAGTTTACATAGAACTCAAGAAGCAAGTCTCAAAAACATCAAAGGATGCAATAAAAAAATGGGGTACAGAACTAAATAGAGAATTCTCAATAGAGGAGTCTAAAATGGCTGAGAGGCACTTGAGAAAGTGCTCAACTTCCTTAATTATCAGGGAAATGCAAATCAAAACAATTCTGAGATACCATCTCACTCATATCAGAATGGCTAAAATCAAAAACTCCAATGACAGTTTATGCTGGAGAGGATGTGGAGACAGGGGAACACTCCAACACTGCTGGTGGGAGTGCTGACTTGTACAGCCACTTTGGAAATCAGTATGGAGATTTCTCAGGAAAATGGGAATCAGTCTACCACAAGATCCAGTAATTCCACTCTTAGGCATATAGTCAAAAGATGCACATTTATACAACAAGCATGTCTGTTGCACTATGTTCATAGCAGCATTATTTGTAATAGCGAGAACCTGGAAGCAACTTAGATGCCCTCAACTTAAGAGTGGATAGAGAAAATGTGGGACTTTAACACAATGGAGTAATACTCAGCAGAAAATAATGGGATCTTGAAATTTGCAAGTCACTATAAGAAACCATCCTGAGTGAGGTAACCCAGTCACAAAAAGACAAACATGGTATGTACTCACTCATTTACGGATTTTAGACATGAATTAGGGGAGTGCCAATACAATCCCACTGCCAAAGAGTTTAGGAAACAGAACCTTCATCCAGGGACTGATGAAAGCAGAGGCAGATACCCACAGACAAACAATGAGCTGAACTCCTGGAATCCAATGTCAGAAAGAGAGAACTGATTGGCGAAAGAGTTAAGACTGGGCTGGTTTAATCCACAGAAACAGTTGACCTGAACAAAGGAGAGCTGTTGGACCCCAGATTGATGGCTGTGTGGAAAGCATGGGACTGACTCAGACCCCCTGAATGTGGGTGTCAGTGAGTAAGCCTAGGTAATCTATGGGGCCTTGGGTAGTACTTATCCCTGGCATATTAATAGGTTTTGAGTGCCCATAACACAATATGGGATGCTTTCCTAGCCTGAACTCTTGTGGGAGGGCCGAGGCCCTGCCTTGGATGAAATTACTATCACTGGAGATTCACCATGGAGGGCCTCATCCTCCCTGGGGATTGGAGTGGAGATTGGGTGGGGGGCTGGGGGACCTGGTGGGGAGGGTGGGGCAGGAGGTGAGGGAGAGGGAGCTGGGATTGACAAGTAAAACAAGATTGTCTCTAACCTAAATAAAAAAAATATTATTCAAAAAATAAATGGAAGAAGGGAGATTTTACTCTTTGGCTGCTTGTCCTCATCTTCGAAGCAAATACATTCCTTCACAGGCACTGGAGTCAACTTCTTAGAGATTTCAGACTATACTAAAGACTGAATAAAGACCTCCAGGATCATGGGCTAAGCAACATCTGGATTCTTGGACTTTACCATATAGCCAACCAATGTTGATTATCTGGACCATAGCCTGTAAGTCATTCTAAAAATACTCTTTCTGTATATAGAGAAATCCATTCTATAAGTTCTTTTACTCCATAGAACCATAATCATCTATATCAGGTATGTACACAACACCTTTTAGAGTAGTGTGGACCTCTCAATTGCCTTACATAAAAATTCCAAGAGTTTGCATCCCCTTAACCTGTTTTCAGGCAATGATTTGATGCTGCCCTACTATTCTATAGCTTCTGGGCTAGAAATCAAAATAAAAATGTCTTAAATTTCTCAAATGCAACACACAGTAATATTATGACATGAGTAATTACATGTGATGGAAAGATTCTAGCGAGAGTGAAAACCAGATGTCTTAGCATCTGTGGACCAAGATCTGGCACCCCCACTCACATAAAGGTCAGAAGCCAGTAGGTTTTTTTAACCTTGATATGACAGATCCAGTATGGAGACCCACAGTATTATATCCTTCATACATTAACTCTCTGCCTCACTGTCTGTCCCAATTCAGATCAATTCCAGAGGAACATTACAAGAGTAAAGGAGTCACTGGAAGAAACACTTTCTCAGTATAATCTGAGGTCTTCTGTGGCAAAAAGCAGTGTATCAAGAATTCTAATTTGTCTTATTAATGAAAACCCAGAGTCATATATCTGGGTAAATGCAAAAGATCAAAGAAATAAAGTAGGTAGACACTAGAGAGACTTTTTACCTCTACAGAATCCTCAGAATGAAGGGACAGAGATCCTTTCTCCAACCATCTTATATTCTTGTCTCTATCTCCCTGGTGCTGGGGTTAAAGGCATGTGCCCCCCAAGTATTGGGAACAAAAGCATAGGATACCAAGTGCTGTGAACAAAGGTATGTGCCACCACTGCCTGGCCTCTATGGTTAACTAGTGGCTAGCTGCACCCTCTGATCTTCAGGTGAGGTATATTTATTAGAGCACAAAAAATTATCACCACAGAGTAGCATCAATCGTCTCTCTACTTTTTAAGTCTTGCACAGAAACGCTCTCCACTAGAGGTATGTGGCCCCTGATACAGGCTTCTTTTACTCCAGCTAGTCATAAGGTTCCTCCCAACATCACATAGTTGCATCACAAAGAGGGATATATTACCCCACCTTTACTCACAATAGGGTCTTTCTCAATTCTGCATTTCATCAGACAGGCCTAATCTGTTTTGCCATCCTAGATGAGAGGTTTCAATCTGACAGCATATGATGCTCGGGCAGGATACTGAAACTATAAGAGACCTAGATGCATGTGTGGCAACCTAAGACAATTAGCATGTCTGCCTCATATACCTGTCCCTACAGGTCTCAAGAAACTTTAGTCTTTATTTGGAAATGATGTAATCCAACAAGTATCTGGAAGGACAAAAGTCAAGTGCAGGGGCTGGAGAGATGTCTCTTCCATTCAGACCATTCTTGCTGTCTTAGACAACCCACATGACAGCTAACAACCCACTTTCAAATTCCAGGTGGAATCCACTGCCATCATCTGGCCTCTATTGGAATTGCAAGTATGTGGAGGCATAACACCCATAAGTATAAATAAAAGTGACACCAAAAATATCCCAACATATCTTGGAGGACATTATTTCTGCTGTGCAATTATCACTCATGCTGTGTTTCAAGAAAGCCAGAGGCAGATCGCTTTGCATTTCCTGATTTTTTATTTACTCTTAATGAATGTTCTCCTTTCCTGAGAGACCTGTAGCAATATAGTACTTGTGTTTCCCTTCCATAAGCTCCGTGTGATGGTTTCACAAACATGTGTGTATAGTGTACCACATTTTACTGGTAGCTAAATATGTGCCCTAAGGATACATAATTTGTTTGTGTGTTGGGGGGGGGGTCATGTATGGTGATGTCTTCCTTGTACAAATAAAGCCTGTCTTAAGGTCAGATAATGTAGCTTGCTTCTAGTTAACCATAACCATGTAGTGGGTATCCATGGAGTAGGCCACACCATCCATATCCAAGGTGTCATCTGACTGTGTATCGGTCAGACCCATGACTTGCAAATCTTTGTGCAGCCCAAGCTACATGGAAATTGCTGAGATGTACCCATGACCGTGAGTTCTGGGTTTACAGGAGTGTGACTCCTCACACGATTAAAGAAGGGACTTAAGAGTGAAAAGTCAGAAATTGCTTTTTTATTCAAAAAATACTCATTACATACATTGTATAGCCTTAGCAAACTAGTAAAACAATGAAAAGAATAAAAGAAATAATATCATTAAACCAAAATGAAGAAAAACACAAAGCACAAATATCCTAAAATATAAACCAAAAAAAAAAGATTTAGTAAAGTTCCCAATTTCCTCTGGAACACTCTTTATGGAACACCAAGAGAATAACATGAGGCACGCGGAGCTGGATTATTCCCTGCAATGAAGTATCTTCAGCAACACTTGTACACGGTGTGGAGTCAGCGTCAGTACTGCACTAAAGAGAGAATGTTGTACTCGATGCAGTCTGTCTGCACAGCAGTGTGACATTAATACAGTCTTCCAAGCCAGATCTTCCATCACAGTTGGAGTCAGCTTGCCAAAGCCCATCACATAAAGCTCACACAATAACTCTTGCTCATCCCCATGTCTTCCTCCATGTTGTTTTGTCCCATAAGGTGGTCACTTGCTGACAGGTTCTGAGTAATTCGTGGTGTGTCCTCTGTGTTTCAAGCTCATGTCCCATGCAATCCTTTCTCTGGACATAGTGAGCCAACAGATGTGGATCAGATTGGGGTTGGATCCTCTGATGGTAGGTTGATATTTGGCTCACTAGTGACTTCACAGCTCCAAGGAGGTGGCCTTTTCTGAGGAGGCCTTGATCCTAGAGTATAGAATGTCATGCTTTCAAGGTGTCTCTGACTTCCTCTAGTCTTCTCAGTTCTCTTAAGAGGCGCTGTCAGAGAAGAATGGAAATCAGATATAGAAACAATCTTTCTGAGCCATTGAAGATGAAAAAACAACGGCCTATTCACCCCTAGTAAACAAAAGCTAAGGGAGAAAATCCACCCCATGAGTCCCTGGTTGCTGGGAATGGGGCTCAATGGAGGCTCTCTTGCCTGGCACATAGTGCTCCTGCTTCAGCAGCTCCGTCTGCAGGAGGCTCTCCTCCTGGGCTGTGTTGTGTTCCAGTTCTTGCTGGAGGTGTTCAAACCTAGGGTAGAAAGTTGGATGTAACAGAGACCTGGTGGGGACCTGCCATGTCAGCTTTTGAGCCCCACCCAATTTCTACTCAAATATACAATCCAGCATTACTTTTCCCCTGAGGTCATTTCCTTATTCCCCAAGGGAAAAGTGTCAGACAGGGCCTGGGCTGGAATGCTTTGTCTCAACTTTTAAAAAGCTTCAATTGCTAGAATTGAAGTGAAAAAATACAAACTCTGCTGGACTAGAAAAAACCAACATCTTTCTCCAACAGTCCAAAGACATTATTTGGGGAAATACCAGTATACTAATGTCTGACTCACACAGTTTAGGAAAGGTATACATGGGCTCCCTTAGATACCAAGTGAATGTGAGCAACTTGTAAAATACTATGCCTTCCCTCTCATGGAGCCTACTTAACACTGCAGAGAAGGCTCTTATTATTCCCACGGCTCAGACGTTGCATGGGACTAATTTGTCAACTTCTAATCTTTTTACGACCAGACAGATATTCTCACTGGAAACAGATGAACTCTGCAGACAGCCAGTGATCAATGGGAGTGTACCGGGAAAGACAGAAGCTTATCTCTAAAGGTGATGTTCTAGATGGAAAATAAAATGGTGGCAGACACACTGTTCTTCACAATGGACCCTCCCCTTCCTAGTTTTGAGTGTACCATGGGAATATTTGTGGGGAGACCTAACCTAAGAGATGAGATGTTCAGACCATACTAGAAAACTCAGAAGGTAAGAGGGGACGCATCTAAATAAGACTAAGGGTCAAGCATATTGTTTCCTGAACAGAAGATCCTGTTCATTTAGCCAGCATGACACCCTATAGGATTCTTTTCCTGGCTATGGGTGGGAGCCTTGGCAAATGAATAGAAACCCAAAGAAGACAGATATCCAGGTACAGGGGACCCACTTGACTCCACCCGCTTCTGCCAGCCTGGGCTCCTACCTCATCTGGGATTCGCGGGAGTGATGCTGCAGTTTTACTGCCAAGTCCTTTTGCTGAGTAACCAGTTCCTTCTGTTGCAGCAGACACTGAAGATTCTCCTCCAGTGTTTGATGTTCCTATTCATTAGAAGAATGCGTTGTTAGGGCAGAATTGTCTGCACCCAAGTACACAAGTGTGCATGAAAGTGTGTGCAAAACACACACAAACACAACACTCATGGATGCACATGAGTGCATGGATGAACACAAACAAGCACACTGCATTGTGTACACGTTTAGTTCCTAGACACACTGATGTAAGAAGATATCTTCTGGGATACTATAGAGAAAAGAGTTAATGATCATTAGCCCACAGGCTCTCTATCCATGTTCCAACTCAGATGCAGGATAACACAGGATGCTGTGAGCACAAGAATATGGTGATGGGGAGAGGATTGTAGTTTTGCTCTGTGTTAAGCTTTCATTTTATTTTTATGTTGTATGTGTGGTGTTTTGGCTGCCTATGTATCTGTGTGCCACATGTATTCTTGGTAACCTGGAAGAAGAACCCAGGGTGTAGATCACTCCATGTAGTATGAATGTTGTAAATCTACAGGGCAAAAGGTTTGACAACAGGGGTCCTGTAGCAGTTATCCAAGCTTGCATAGAAAGTTGGCTAGTCTGTCCATTAAGGACTTAGTTCTCTGGTACTGTAACACTGCATGGTGGTGGATCTGCCTCTTGCCCTCACTCAGAGCTTTCCAGTGGCTCCTTGGAGGGCAGCTTCCTCTAAAAAGAGGTCTCTAAACCACAGGTTCCCTCAGTTTAACCCAAAGAGATCAAGCAGTGAGCTCAGAAAATAGAAAGTCTCTACAACTAGCAGTCAAAATAAACCATTCCTCCCAGTTAGATGATTATATCAGGGGTTTCCATAAGTAACAGAAGGCTGACTAGCTTATGAGCAAATGAGAGTGTGTATTACTTCATGCTTAACAATAATCCATGAAAATTCTTGAAAATATTGTATGTTTTTATTAATCAATTATTGACATTTGAATAGTTTCTTATTTACATGTGTTCTGAGGAATACTGCTATAATCTTGTTGTCCCCAACATTGCCTGTGGACACCTACTTCTCATTTCGAGCTCACTGTGTGACCCAGGGGCTGCAGCTCAAATTTCTGAACAATTATACATAGTTTCTCATAGAGATACAACATTTTACAGTACTTCAATGTCTGAGGGTCCTCATTTCATCCAACTCCCATCAGGCCGATTTTAACTCAGTATGAAAAAGTTTGGAAGAAAAGCTTTCTGAGTGCTGCAGACACAACATGGAGTGAGTGCTGTAGACTATGATGAGCCTAAGGGGATCTGAATGAGCCAGCCAGTTCTCACACCTTAGCAAAGCAGTGGGACATCAGCTGGACAGAATTGTAACCACAAACACTTCTGCAGTTCATAATTTCTAAGAGAGTTAAACCCAGGTCAGGCTCCAAGGACAAGGTTAACTGAACCAAGGTTAGACAAAGGTGAAAGGAAAATGTCAGCAGGCAATGAGGAGAACAAAACAGGAGGCAGGGACATCACCAGTGAACAGTCACCATTCACCCCAAGCAGAGGACACCAAGCATCAGCCAGGCTTTCCTGCCTCTCAGGCACCATGATGTACCTCAGTAACCTCTTTCTCGCCTTCATGTACCACATTACTTTGATATTTTTCCAAAGAATTTCTTTGCAGATGAGTATTTATGCCTCTACAAAAACTCTGAAAATCTTTAGCATGCATCAGTTGTGGTCCTTTGTTCTGGTTAGCAGAAAGATGGCCAGCTCCGTGTGCTCTAGGACTGATAAGAGTTGATACTAATCAGAAAAGGCACATTCCTTCTCATTATCATTGGTCTCCATTATCCTTGGAGATATTCCATTGTTTCATGAGTGAGTGAACCTACATATATAAACTCAAACTTGGATTCTCACACCATAAAATATACATCAAAACAACATACACACACACACACACACACACCCTGTACACAGAAAGGCAAGGGAGGGAAGAGTGTTGCAGCACCATTTCTGCTGCAGGAGGATGTAGTGGGTCTTCTCTGCTCAATCCAGGCCTCTTATACTCAGGAAGGCTGGCCTGGACTTCCATCCACTTCCAGGAAAATTTTCATTCCAAGACTCACTGATCCTATAGATAAGTGACAACCTCTGCACAACTGAACTTAACCATAAACCACCAAGTGACAAAGGAACAGGGTTGGAAATGAAGCCCCAGATAGTTCCAAGTGAACCCACCATAGTCTCCTAAATAAACTTACCAGGTTCCTCCACAGAACCTTGATAGCACCAGAGAATGGAAGTGACTCATGGACATTACCCAACAACTTTTGTCCATAATGTGGTGCATATAATGTGAAAATACCTCCAGGTGTGTTATTTAGGAGACTACTGAGGTCACATTGCTGTTCTGAAATATAGCAGCCTATACAACTGTGACAGGAATCTGTCCTAAGACACAGTCATTTACATGACAAAGTGAGCATCAAATTGTCAGCAGAGAGATGTACTGCCAGGTTTCATGGGTTCTATGTTATGAAGACAATGAGACAAACCAGACATTTCCTGGAAGTTTCCTCTGTGTAGTGAATGGAGAAAAGCACACTTTTTATTTATAAAGTGGCTCTGCTGCTTGATTTTTGCTGTTACCAAACACATTAATACCAAAGTCATAAAAATGTGCAGAAATTGAGAGAAACTAGCATGTCTTTTCTCTTTCTGATCAAAGGAGTCATTTAGTAATTCGACGAGACAGACAAAGACAGGAGGCATTCTTGTATGGTGACGGGAGATTCAAAGAGCTCTGGCTAGCTAGGTTAGCCAGAATAGAATTTTTTGCCAAGGAAATGAGCCACAGCCCCTTGACCTCACTCAGTCATAGCTCTGTGATATTAAGTGGTTCCCAGAATAGCACCCATCCTACAAGAATGACTTTTACGTGTGTGATATGTGATTTACCCATCTCTATCACTCTACCAAAGCAGTAGAGTTTGCTTGCCAATCATGCTGTGTCTTCGGTGCTAACTCCACAGAAAGACTTGTGACTGATCACAGAAATGCGCCATTGGATGGGAAGTAGGTGGTCAATTGGACAAGTAAGTGATTGGGTACATGGATATGTGTATATGTATGTGTATGGTTAGACAGATGTGTAGCTTGCCTCTGCCTACCTGCTGCTGCAATGTCCAGAGGTCATAGATCTTCTCATGGGTCTCCTCAAAGAGCCTCTTCACCTCCTCACAGGACTCTTGCAGCAAAATCTGCTCCCCATGCAGCTTTTTGTTATCTTCTTTCAACATGCAGACTTTTTCATTCAATTGTGTCCATTCACTCAGAAGCTGCTGTTGAGGATGCTTAACAATCAAAAAAAATCTGATTATCTCAAGTCAAGCTCCATGTGTCCCTTCTTCCTCCTAATACCGCTATTCCTGCAAGGTCCTGTGTCCTCAGACAGTCACGGGGTGGAGCTCACATTAGCCAGGCCAGCACCATCCAGTTACAGGCCAAAGCCAGAGAACAGACAATTTCCAGAAATCTTCAATCTACTTCTGAAGACATCAAAAGGCATCCATGTACCTTTGAAATAGTATTCTCCTTAACCTGCCCCCCACCTGTGCTTAACTCTTCATGGTATTGGGAAAACATCATCAGGTAGTGAGCAAGCACTCTGGAGGACAGAGGACACAATTGGAATGTTTCACCTATGTGTCCAAAGAAACATTATCTGTAAGCTCACGCCAGGACCCGGAGATCACTCGTGGTTCAAACCATGTTTTCTATCTAGAATCTTTGGAGGTGGCAGAACAATGTTGGGAGGGGCTCTCAGACTTTTGAACATAGGAAAACTCAGTCTGGGAGGCACAAGTCTAAGAGCTATAAGAGGCTTCTTGTTTGGAGGTAAACAGGCTAGAAACAGCCCTCAATTTGGTTCAAGAGAAAGAAGGGCAGAAGTAAACAGGCTAGAAGCATAGCCCTCAATTTGGTCCAAGACAAAGAAGGGCAGAAGCTGTCCTTCCCATGTGCTGGGGTCCCATTAACATCAGACACTCACTGGTAGGAGTTAGTCTTCTCAATCAGCACCATATACTTGTACAAGGCCTCACTAATTTCCTTGGGGTATTTCTTCATATCTGACATCTCCTTCTGGTGCTCCATTTTCAGCATCTCAAGGTCAGAATTCGGTCTGTGCAGGGCATGACCCTAGAAGCAAAGAACCCCATGAACACAAGCCTCAGGGTGCACATGTAGTAAGGCTGTGTCTGTGACTACCCTAGCCCGCTGGATGTTACATCCTGAATCCTATGTACTGGGATCATTCGACTTGCTACCCTGCCCAAGGGCCAGAAAGAAAGGGGATCAAGAAGGAGGAGACAGGGCTGCATGGGCTCCCTCAGTAGTCCTGAAGGGATATAGACTGGCTGTCAAAGAAGGTCTAGGAGTCTGTGCCACAGGTATGGGCCTATCTGAAACCTGTGATGATATGTCTCCTGTGTTCAGAACAGGGATTGTTTATCATGTGTTCCTATTATGACAAGGATGCAGAGAACTAGTATAACAATTTCCATGGGGGAGATATTGCATCAGGATGGCTTTATGAACTCCAAAGTTAATTCCAGTGAGCCATCAAGGTGAGCACAAAGGCAGGGAGCACAGATGCTCAAAGTGGGAATAAGTTTAGGAATGCAATCTAATGGTTTATCAAGGGTGAGGGAAGTGAAAAGGCCAAACTTGCCAAAGCCGTATTTGCAATGACTGGGCGTGTTAGAGAGCTCTTCACACTCATAAACCCATACACAATTAGGATGTCAAACAAATGCAGGTACAAGCAACAAGGTCATAAAGGAGTCAGGATGGGCTCCAAGACTTCCAGTCACACACTGAGATGGGCCAAATATGGCCAGGACCTTCAAGCTGCTCCCAGGGAAACTAGCAAAAAACCTCCTAATCAGCCGTGCCATGGTGGCACATGTCTTTAATCCCAGAATTCTGGAGGCAGAGGCAGGTGGATCTCTGTAAGTCTGAGGCTAGGCTGGTTTTCAAAGCTACACAGAGAAAGCTTATCTTCAAAAGCAAACAAAAAAGAAATTACCTAGCCAAATACAAAGACTCACCACAATCTCACAGCACCCAGTATCTCCAACAAGGCAATACCTACCTGGATAGGATTCTTGAAATACATGTTATGAGCTCACACACTACTGTCCCTATCCATAGAATGCTACTCAGGCCATGGGCTCTGCTTTACTTTTGGAGGAAGCAGATCATCTTGTGTCCCCATCTCACTCTTGCCCAGGCTTCAGTTCTGCCTCTCAGATTCACTCAGAATAACTGGTTGGGCAGGAGGACACCCTCAAGATGCAGTCACAAGTGACCTGAGGAATGCTGGAGCTGACACAGGAGGGTTAAGACAGTTACCAGAGATGGCATGATGAATACCTGTTGTTCCGATCATTGCTGATGTAATGGGCCAGTATTACACTCAGTTCATCCCTCTCACATGTCATCATCTTTAGCTGAAGGATCAGTTTTTCCATCTTGTTCAACTGCTGCTCCTTCTTAGTGAGGAAGGATGGTGTGGATGATGCCTTCCCCAAAGTCTCTGTAGGTAGACAAACACCTGAATTTGTACAGCTGAACCGTAAAGAGCCAAGAGAGAATGTGAAGTCCCAAGAAGCAGCCTGACGAAGAGGAAATGCATGGAACCCAGTGAAGTCCTCAAAAATCACGGCATGTATTTTTTGTAAGTTATGCCTCTGTCTCCATCACATGGCTAGATATATGCCTCAGGCTGTATTGCAGCCACACTGTTCCTGAAAGGTATAAACAAGCTCACCCATTCTGATTTGAAAATGTCAGCTCATTTCTTGTGTGTTTTAGGGTCCTGGATTCCCCTGTGCCTTTTGCCTTCCACACATAATAACTTGTATCCAGGTCTAAAAGTAGCTGAATGTGTCAGACCTGCATGCATGGGTGGGGAGTTTTCCTTCCTGGGATTCACAGCACACACTCATCGAACCTACAGAAATCCACTGAGGATAAAATACAGGAATACCCTATCTTGACAACTCATTAGTGATTCTGTGTTTGCTGGTAACATTCTTTACCACTCAGAATTATATTAATGAGGTCCCAACACAGCATCTGCAGTCTTGACCATTCCTGGCTCTCTGTCAAACTAATCTTCAGAATTTCTCAATGGGTCTCCTCTTTAGGAACCCATAGAATCAGCAGAGGCCCATTCTTCCGATGATCCCAGATACAGAATCCCACTTCTAGAAATCTCTGACAATCAGTGTGCTCAATTTTGACAGCATGTCTATTGGTGGACCTTATAAGCAGTTAATGAATGCCCCAAGGGCAGTTGGCATTGCCACAACACTAGTGATTTCACACAAGATGCCATGTGACCTCTGTTTTACAATAGAGTGTCCACAGATGGGTGCTTGTAGGGTCTCTGCCAACAGTCATCACCTATCTGATGACTAGTTCTTCCCATGTTCACCAAAATCTAAGCTGCCCCTCCCAGGAGCCTTCCCTGAGACATGGGAGGAGCCCTTCCCTAACCCTAACCCTAACCCTAACCCTAACCCTAACCCTAACCCTAACCCTAACCCTAACCCTAACCCTAACCTAACCTGCACCTCTTCCTTTCCACCCAGAGGTCTCCCTGATTCTTTAGGATCTAGTTCCTTCTAATTCACTGGTTCATCTGTGTGCAGGTCAAGACTTACTTTCACATCACTGGCCAGGCATGGCACTTCCTGTCCTTCAGATGACTATTCAATAAGAAACAAAATAATGTGTACTAAGAAATTATCTCAGGATGATAGGGAAGGAAGATCAATTCCCTGAAGTGAACAAGGTCATCAAGAAAGATCCACAGGGCTGTTACAGTGTATGGGGTGATGAAGGGATTGTGAGTGTCCTGTCAGAACAATGGATAAGTCACAGATATTGAAGAAAATTTTGTCACAAGCTTCAAGCCAATACTTTTCAGCCATCGATATGTTGGCAATGATATGATCAACTATTTATAGGTAATGACTGAGCATACCCAGGTAAAAGCCTGCAGACACAAAGAATAAACACTTGCAGGAAGATTACTGGCTCAATCCTGCACTTGACTTAGATGTCTTTATAGGGAGAGGGTTGGGATTCTTGAATCTTAGGGTCACTGACATGCAGCAATAATTGGTGAGTCTTACCCTGAAATTGGTTGTGAAGCAAAACGTGAGAAACCCCAGCTTTGTCCAGGGGAATTTATTCTCCCTTTTAACAGTGACTCACAAACAAAAGAAATTCAGTTTGAGTGAGGGGCAGGGCTGATACAGAAACCTCTTTAGTCCCTCTGTGCTTCCTTCCCATGCATAGTGAATGCAGAGGGCCCCGAACACAGAAGCTGAAGCCTTGACCATTTCTGGCTCTCTCCAAACTGACAATCAGAAACCCTTGCCTTTGGACCTGCTCTGTAGGAACTGAGATAAGTAGGAGAAGGCTTCCCACAAACTTACACCTCCTGAGCCCCACTCCTGAATGGTTCAGATGAAGCCTTCCTCCCCTTATGAAGCTGTCCATCCTTTGATCAGGGCGCACTGTGTATTTCCCAGGACCATTTATTTTTTGATGTATGACATTGAGACTGAAGGATACCTTCCTCCTGCCTCCCTCTGGTCTTCCTTTGCCATCCATCCCGCCTCCAAAGCAGTCTGTACAGTCTTCTCAGCATGTCTGTGGGGGAACCGTATAGGTACTGAATGAAAGTCCCAGAGCAGTTGAAGTTGTTACAACACTGGTGACATCACAGAGAATGCCATTGCTCTCCGGGATACAATAGAACGTCCAGGTAGGGACTGCTGATGTCATATGGTCCAGCTATTGCAGCCCTGCTAACTACCTCACCCAAAAGTGACCTAAAACCAAGGTGCCATTTCCATGGGTCTTCTCTGGGGTCACGGGGAAAGCCTTTATGCATAGCCCCCTCTTAAAGTCAGAAATCTAGTCCTCTACTTCATTGGAAACTTTAATGTGAGAAGTTGTAAGCTCACTTTCCAAGCACTGCTTAGTGATGGCTTTTCCCCTCCTAAGATCCATACTCAGTTAAGAGGAGAAATAAAGTATGCTGGGAAATTAGATCATGATAATGGGGAATAGAACATGGGAATAGTGGCACAGTTCAGCATGGCTATTTTGAGACACAGGCTGGCATGGAACGTGCAGTGCAGCAGTCTTCAACTCTGTTGCCTTTGTTTCCCAATTGCTAGATCACCAGTATGTATTATAATACCCAGCTCCTTTTTGTATTTCTAAATGCTCAAATATCCAGAAATTTCCAAAATCTAAAATTCTTGTGACTGCAGGCATTTCCCGTAGGGAAATGATCTTTGCAAATCCAGGAGCCTGTGTATTTTGAGTGTCTATGTCACTTTTGGCCGTGTAGCTCTGGTTGAGGTCAAGGTTTAGCTCATGGTTGTTTGAAGGACTCCAGTGCTGTTGGGAGGATTCTTCATATTGAAGGCTCAGTCCCAGCCCTTTGGTGTGTGCCCTATTGACTGGATCTGCTTCATAGTTCTGAAAGCTGATCTCTCCTTCAGGGTCCTTCTGGATGCTGGCTCCTCACGTTGGATAGCATAGCAGACAATCCCTGTGGGGTTCCTCGCAGTCCCCTGAGAGGGATCAGCACAAAGCTCATCAGTGGCCCACATAGTATTTTAGGAGATATTTAGGACGGTTTCTATAGACAATGTTGGGTCCAGTGCCACAAAGGGTTGGGGAACAGACCACCAATGAAGCAGAAGCAAATTTTATTCCATGTAAGTATGGAGTACAAAAAGCAAAGCAAAGCAAAACAAAACCCAGCACAAAACAAAATAGAAACCTCTTCAGTTAACTCCGACCAAAGCTAGAGTTTAGACTTCTGAAATTTCACAACCTGTATAGACTACAACACCTGCCTGTCCAAATATCATCATTGCAACTGAAAGTTAAAACCATAAGAGGCATGGACAATTTTTGAGGATTTAATTTGATGTAAATTACTGAATATTTTTGCATTTTAAGCTAATATATAAATTAACTATTTTTTGTTTTACAATTTGTTAGCTACTGCTACAACACTGGTGGAAAATATCACCATCCAGGAATTTAAAAATATCTTTGTTTCTATACTGGATGGAATTTTAGAAGAGTTATACTACCTTATTGGGACTTATTCACTCTTAGCCATAGTTGGTATCAGCTTGGTAAGTAATATAATAGCCTTAAAGAAATGTTTGGGATAACAGAGCTAAGAGTGAGAAACTTAAAGAAATTAGTGCTAAGAATGAGGAACTTAAAGGAATTACACAGAATGTACAGTCTGGTAATGAGAGCTTAGCAAAAAGAATTCATATAACTGAAAATGACATCATACTTTGACACAAAGAATTCACAAAATGGAACATAGTTAATGAACATGTAACAGAAAAAAAATCATTCCATGTGTAAGAGTAAAGAACAGAAAGAACATTGTTTTTGGAGGGCAATCTACATGCCATCCAAATAATCTCTAAGGATGAGAATATTAACTCTCTAGAATCAAATGTGAAGGAGAACAAGAAACTGACTGATTTAATGAAATCGTTGGAAGTTTTTACTATCCAGGAAGTTCAAACCCGGAGAAATAAGGATGAATAGATTACCGACCACAGAAAACCTTAAAACTGATCGGGTAAAAACAAAACAGAATAGAAAAGATTTAACATCAACAGTACCTTTCAGAGTCAAAGATGACTTACCAAAGTTTGTATCATCATTATTACCCACTATGGTCGATCCTGTTCCTATTACTCAAAAGGCCAGCAAATAGTGAAAACCTGGAGGATATACAGAATGCAAGTGGGAGCCTCTGTGGATGACAGATTTAAAAGTTATTAAGGAAGAAGTAGTTTCTTATGGCAAGCATTCATCGTATGTGATGCAGTAAGCGCATAGGCTACAAGACATAGAATAACTCCAAATGACTGGCTTCAATTAGTTTCAGCTGTTCTAGACCTTGGTCCACAGCTGCAGTAGAAGTCATATTGGAGGAAAGAGTCCAAAGCTCTTGAACACCAAGGCAGAATCAAAGGTTATTAGGCTTTCCAAGACCAAATTCTTGGTGAGGACTGTTATGCTTATACAGATATTCAAGCTCCGTACAATGAACTCATCTTGTCCCTATGCTGTTCAGCAGTTTTGAATGCTTGAGACAAGATTCAAGAACCAGGGAAGAGAATTGAGCCATATATTAAGGTTATACAAGGCCCAAAAGAACCCTTTATTGACTTTTTGCAAAGATTGACTAAAGCTGTGAAAATAGGGTGATTTGTTAAAAAAAAATGTTGCTTATGATCAGGAAGGAAGTTGAACAAGGGATTATATTTGAGGGTTATTTTTAATGAGAGGAATCCAGATACAATAGGATGAAAAAGTGTAGATTGTTGAATCTACTCTAAAGAATACACGGTGGATATAGATGTGATAAGACAAAAGTTAGATTATTGAATCTACTCTTAAAAGGAAACTACTGGTTTAAAATATTTTAAACTGAAAAAAATATTTTAAAC